CAATGACTCAGTCACACATGGTACAGCAGGTCCTTCAGCGCTTCGAATTCACTTGGTCCTCGGCACAGGCGACTCCTCTGGCTACAGGTCACTCGCACTCAGCTCTGCCTTCGGATGAGTCCGTAGAGCCGAGTGGTCCTGACCCAAAGCTAGTTGGCTGCCTCATGTACCTGATGACTTGCACTCGGCCTGACCTTGCGTACCCTCTTGGCCTTCTGGCTCGCTATGTGGCTCCTGGTAGGCACCGAAAGGTGCACGGGGATGCTGCAAAGAGGGTATTGCGCTACTTGTGCAGTACATCGGGCATGGGGCTCGTGCTTGGAGGGAGGAGCTCAGTTGTTCTAACTGGGCACTCATACACTTCTTGGGTTGACAACCAGGCTACTCAGCGGTCGCCACAGGGTTACACCTTCAGTCTTGGCTCTGGCTCAGTTTCGTGGCGTTCTACGCGTACGTCTTCAGTTCTCAACTCCAGTTGTGAGGCTGAGATCTACGGCACAGCCATGGCTGCACAGGAGTTACGCTGGCTCACCTACCTGCTGACCAACCTGGGATAGCGGCTTCGTTCTCCTCCAGTGCTGTACGTCAACAACAAGGCCGCCATTGCCTTGTGTGAGGAGCATAGACTGGAGCACAGAACGAAGCACATCGCTCTACGTTACTTCCTGGCTCGAGAGTTGCAGCAGTGTGGTCAGCTTCGTCTGCGTTACGTGGCCACTCAGGCCAACACTGCTGATATATTCACTAAGGCACTTAAGTCTGGTGATCATCAGCGTTTCTGCACTTTGCTAGGGCTTGTGCCCACTTTTCCTCACTTGTTGTAGACTTTGCCTGTACTGTGATCTATATACCTATACACCTTCATACTTGCTTTGCTAGGTATAGATCACTGTGATGCTTGTGTTACATATATGCCTCTGCATGTGAACTGGCCTTGTGGCCTCTTGCTTGTGCTCAGAGTGTGTGGTGACGTTGTCATCCACCTTGAGCTTGCTTTGTCTTTCTTGACTGGCCTTGTGACCCCTTGTTCTCCCCCACTTAGCCTATGGGGATGTGTCAAACATTGTATATGTTACTCTTCTATAGGCTATAGTGGGTTTAGCCTTAGGGGGTACAACATTCTAGGGTTTTCCTACTTGTACTCCCAATCTTGCTAGTCCAACCACTTCTCTAATTCTGACATACTGCTCCCACAGCGATGTCACTAGCGTCGGTGACGAGCTCGAACGGACGGTGCGGATCTGCAATGTGAAGTACGGGCGGTGAGCACAAAATATTTTTGATGGCCAAGAAGGCAGCTTGCTCCTTCTCCCCCCACGTGTACTCAACCCCCTTTCTCAGTAGGTCAGTCAACGGGGCAGTCATCTTCGCCATGTCGGGGACGAACTGGCGCACGTAGTTGACGAACCCCAAAAAACTCTGCAGCTCGGTCAAGTTGGTTGGTGCGTGCCATGCTTGAATCGTCGCGATTTTTTTCGGGTCTATTTCCACTCATACAGCTGAGATAATGTGTCCCAAAAACTCCAGTCGGTCCTGTAAAAACTCACACTTAGACGCTTTTCTCAGTAGGCAGTTCTCACTCAGTATCTTAAAAATTGCTTCGATGTCCTGTAAGTGTTGTGCTGTGTCGGGGCTGTAAATCAGTATGTCGTCCAGGTATACGATGACGCACTTATCTAAAAGCGGGCGGAAGGCTTCGTTCATGGTCATTTGGAAAGTGGCGGGGGCGTTGGTCAGTCCGAAGGGCATGACGGTGTATTCGAAGGACCCGTAGCGTGTTCGGAAAGCTGCCTTAGGGAAGTCGGGTGGGTTGACGCGAATCTGGTAGTAACCTCCCCGAAGGTCAATTTTCAAGAAAACCCGGGCTGTACGTAGTTGGTCGATCAGTTCGTCGGCTCGCGGGATGGGGTAACAGGATTTTATGGTAACCCTGTTCAGTGATCTGTAATCTATGCACATGCAAAATCCCCCGTCTTTTTTCGGTGTGAACAATATCGGTGCTGCGAAGGGTGACGAGCTAGGGCGAATGAACTCCTTCTCGAGCAGGTAATCCAGCTGCTTCCTCAATTCGTCTAGTTCGGGTTGGGTCAGTCGGAACTATCGTTGTACTGTCGGCTGGGCCCCCGGTTCTAGCTCTATCCCGTGGTCGTGCGGTCGCTGAGGTGGCAGTTCCGTCGGTAGGTCGTCCGGGAAGATGTCACTGTACTGCTTCAACAGTGCTGCCAGATCACTCAGTACGCCGGCTAGCAGTTTCTGTAAATCCCCTCCTTTGTTTGCTGCCTCGGCTTCCCGAATGTCGACCGCGTACACGTCAGCTCCTGCCGCTACGGCGCATTTCATCGTGATCGCGTTGACACGCACCGACGAAGACTCAGGCAAGCCCCAGCGAGGTAAGGCGATGTTGTTGCCGTTCACTCGCACAGTGCAGTCACCCGTCGTCCAGTCGATTCGCGGATTGTGTCGTCGCAGCCAATCACGCCCGAGTAAAATATCGGTTCCGTCGAGGGTCGTTGCGAGCATTTCCTGGCTAAACGTGAAGTTACCCCCACATCGAATCCGAACTCGATCCACGCGTTCCCGTATCGCCAGTGGCGTGCCGTCGACCAGTCTTGCGTCGATCTCAGGTAAACATCTGTCTAGTGGCAGTCGTAGTTTTCGTGCTGTGGCATTTTTTATAAGGCTATGGCTGGCCCCTCCGTCTACGAATATTTTAACAAAGTCAGTCCCAATTTTCCCACTAAGCAGTATAGGGCTGTCTACCGTAGTTCCCTCTTTATTCGGCCGGGTGTGGTCGACTGCGTGAACCGGCACAATCACTCGGTGAGGGTCGATTGGGTCGGGCGAGCGGCGTGACCTGTCAGTAGAGGGCCCGTCTGCTACTGACTCCCAGTGTTTCTCTGCTGCTTGGTCTGTTTCTGTTGCTCAGCTTCCCCCTTTCCCTTAGCGTTTTCCGAGCATTCGCTCTTACGGTGTCCCGGCCGATTGCACGCAAAGCAGCGCCCTTTGAACGGTGCGGCAGCGGCATTTGCGGCAACGGCACGTATCGTGGCGCCCTCGTTCGTCCCACGAGGCCGATGTCCCCAATTGCTACTTCCGTAGGACCCCGGTCTCGGTCGGCGGAAGAAATCAAGTTTCTCTGTCATGGCGAGATTCTCCTTAAAATCGGTGACGCCGCGAAGCTGGATTTCCTGAGCGATGTCCTGCTTTAGGCCGCCGATGTAGCGGTCGATGCGCTCGCTCTCATGCATGTATCCCACCTGCTCGCATAGCGCCAGAAACCCGCTCGTGTAGTCTTGGACGGAACCGAGTTGGCGCCAAGTGCGGAGCCTCTGTCGCGCCGCGATCGAAGCCGCAATTGGCTCGAAACGAGCGCGCAGACCTGCACACCACGCGTCCCACGTGCGATACTGGGGCACCTCCACGAAATACGACGGTGCCCAGGGTCCGGTTTGTCCTTCGCGTGTCGGTAGAGTCGCGTAGTCCACCGGCTTCGTGACGATGACACGCCACCAGTCCATGGCGGGTCCTCGCAGCAACGACACGGCGAAGCGAATCTTCGCCGTATCCTCCGAGACGTAGTTCGCGTCGAAGAAAACGTTCAACGTGAAAAGCCACGCCTGGACGGTAGGACCACCCCGCTGACTTGGATCGAAACATGGCGGACGCTGCGGCTTCAGCGGCATCGGCGACGGTAGAGTTGATTCGCTGGCCGGCACCGAAATAGTGACTCGAGGCTGATTCGTGGCCGCATTCGTCGCGTCGGGGTGTGTCGTGCCGTGGTCGTCGTCTCCGTCATGGTGGACGACGCCATCACTTGCGGCGCTCGCGGGTTACCCCACACTTCCGTGTTGCGATGTCTGTAATGCGGGCTGAATCGGAGTGCCAGGTGCTTGGGATTGTGTTCGTGCGAGGTCGTTTTGCAGGGACGTGCGTTCTGCCCGTCAGTGCCGCGATTTCTTCAGAGCTTTCGCGGATTTGCCGCAGCAGTTCGTTCAAATGCTCCTGCGTGAGAGTCGTGACATCGATATGCTCGGCCATTTCGAGGGACGTCGGCTCGGCTTAGTTTAGGCGCAGTCGTGGCTGCACACGTTTACGAGAGAACGCAAGGACAGCGGCTCCTAGGTGCTAAAGTGCATGAGTCCCTTCGAGTGAAGAATCAAAAGTTGATTTCCTGGGGTGCGGAGATGCGCGGTCCGAAAGGAAAGAGGCTCTGATAGCAAGTGTTACGGGTGCAATGAATCGAAGTAGCAAGAATTGCACTAAGGTGTCAAAATGAGTACAAAATGTGAGCGAAGGCATGTGCGAACATTTATACGCGAAACATGCAAACGATAACGCGGTGCGTGCGAGCTAGCTAGTGCTATGCTGGAAGCGAGGCTCGGGCTAGTCCCGAAGCGTAGGCCGACATAGCCAGGCCATCAGTGCGAGGTTTGGTGAAACAGTGCGCGCGAAGTCGGCGAAGCCCCGTTAGCAGTAACGGGCGAACAACGGCTGCTGCTGTGCGCGATGTTGCAGGGCGCGCTAAGGAATGTCAAGAAATTTCCTTACACTGTGCTCCTTGTAACAAAGGTACCAAGAAACCAGTAACTAAATGCATATACAATTCAGGGAATCAAGAAAACTCAGCGCGGGCTGCCTTGCGGGACAATTTTACACATACAATGCTATACCTTAGTGGAAAAAAAAACTAATCACTATGCTAATACAAAATAAATGCTTCTGAAGGGCTGTGGTGCAGCCACACATGCACTACACATGGCTAATGCAACAAAAAATGTAGGCTTCCACCTAAAGCATGTTAGTGCTAGTAAACTAGCCTAATGTTGACACGCTTTCATCAGCATAACCAGCATGGCTTAGCCGCTCCACACGGCTACAACATCCTTTAGAAACCCTGTCGAATGTTACAGCATGGAGATTAACTCCTCACCACATTATTGTACGGGATAGAAACCCGCGCAAGAATCCTCACGTGGGCGTAGAAACCCTCACGGGTGGTGTCACTGCATGGGTCGTAGGCCGTGGCGCATGGCAGCGTCCCATGTGGGGTCGATTCGGCTCACATCAATGCGCCCCACTTCATGGTAGTCCCACCCCTCCAGCAGATGCACCAGCCCCCCCGCATGGCATGCATAGATGTGCCCACGAGGCAAGGCCAGCTGACGAGGGGATGGGGGGGACACGGGGAGGATGGGGGGATTGAGAGACGAGGAAGCAAGGAGAGTGATCGTGAGACATGCCACAGTGGTCCCAACCCTCCAGCAGGTGCACAAGGCCTCTCTGCATGGCTCACATAGATCTGCCTGCGACACAAGCCCATAGCAACTCACAAGGCAGCAAAGCACACGGTCGCACCAACCAGCTCACCTCACACACCTCATCAACTGGTAACCGCGCAACCAGCTCACCGGACACACCTAATCAACTAATAACCGCGCAATCACACCAACCAGTTCACCTCACAAAATCTAGGTTCTCCGCGTCGTCCAGTAACCGCATAGCCGCCAGCTTGCCATACATGCTCCAGCCAGCACCAGGGCATGACCACACATTTCAGCTGGTAACCGCATGGCATAACCTAGGCTCACCTCACAGAACTTGAGATTCTCCACGTCGTCTGGTAACCGCATGGCGGCCAGCTTGCCATACGTGCAGTCCGGCCGGACCTCCGCGATGGGCGGCACGACAAACTGGTGGAAATGCGTGCCGGGCGGCGCATGGCGTTGCTCCCACCACATCATGCCCTTTCCGATGATCCACACGGGGCATTGGCTAGCCTGGGAATATTGTGTCACTTGCACCAGCAGATGCTGCCTCTCCTCTGGTAGCTCCGATCTAATGGCTTCAAACCGCTCTCTCGAGGGGGTCAGCATCTGACAGGATAACATGCGGGGGAGAGCAAGTGGGGGACAGAGAGAAAGAGAGATAAGGAGGTGGAGAGGCATTTTTAGAGCTGACTTGAGAACCAGCAGCTGCTGCCTCTCCTCTCTCTGGTAGCTCTGATCGAATGGCCTCAAACCGCTCCCTTGAGGGGGTCAGCATCTGACAGGGTTAAGAGAGACAGAGACAAAGGAGTGTGACGAGGTGTTGGTAAAGAGGGGAGGATGGACGAAGCGAGGCGAGCGAGAAGGATGATCCCTCATGCCGCACTGAGCAGTTGACTTACTACTACTACACACAGCATAGTACAGCACAACACAACACAATATCTCACTATACCGCACAGCACAGCACCGTCCATGGCACCCTACTCACAGCACTCGCACGCCTCGCCTCGTAACGCAAGGTAAAGCGAAATCGCCCGGCTGCGTTTCGTCGTGGGCCCGGTGAGAAACGCCTCAGTCGCGTCCTCCCTTACCTCCCTCGGAATGATGGCCGCAGTGAGCGTGCTCCCATGCACCACCTCCCATGCACCACCTCCCACACACACATCACACACACACATCACACACACACATCACACACACACCGAGCCTTTTGGCTCAATTTACTCACCAGCACTCGCACGCCTCGTAACGCCAGGTACAGCGAAATCGCCCGGCCAAGTTTCGACGTTGACCCGGTCAGAAACACCTCAGTAGCGTCCTCCCGAATCTCCCTCAGAATGATGGCCGCCGTGAGCGTGTTCCCATGCACCAACCGAACCTTAAGGTTCGGGTGCCGGTCCAGAAACAGCTTGCCTCCGCCGTTGAGGCTCTCGTTCTTGTTGAGCGCGCCCAGAGCTAAGACTTTCACCCCTTGCTTGTCTGCTGCTAGGATGGCCGACTCTATAAAGTTGTTAATGGATCGCTTCTCAAAGGGTATGAAATACTGGGGCGGGGTGGGGTGGGGTGTGAAGGGGTTGAGATGGGGATGGGAATTTAGGGTGGGGTGTGAGGGGGAGTGCGAACTGCATACAAGCACACTCAATCACATTCACGAGCAAAGCTGTTCCAATCACTCGCTACAAGCACACTCGTTACAAGCACACAGGCTCACATTAATCCCGTAGCGAGGCACCATCCATATGTGCAGATTCAGCCCCCTCTGGCGGCTCTTATCCACGGCAAAGCGCAGGCAGATGAACCACGGCACAAAGTAGGCCAGCAGGCACAGTAGCACACTCACTACAAGCACACTCGTTACAAGCACACGGACTCACGTTGATCCCAAAACGAGGCACCATCCATATGTGCAGCTTGAGCCCTCTCAACCGCTTCTTGTCCACGGCAAAGCGCGGGCAGATGAACCACAGCACAAAGTAGGCCGGCAGGCACAGTATGAGCAGCGCGAACGTGGTCCAGGTCGGTTTGAATGGGTGCGTGGAGCCGTAGGGCATGAGGAAGGGCAGGTGGAAGAAGCACTGCAGGTTCACCCCGTGGCCCAGGAAGACAAAGTCCGGATGCTCCACTGGGCCTGGTAAGGGGGAAACAAGAGCAAAACAGCAGCATGGCAGGGAGAGAGAAAGGAAACGGGGTTAGGAGGATTTGAGAAGAAAGAAGCACCGCAGGTTCACGCCGTGGCCCAGGAAGACAAAGTCTGGGTGCTCTACTGGGCCTGGTTAGGAGAACGGGAATAACCGCAGGGAGCAGAAAGAAAATTGGGGCTGGGGGTTAGAGGTGGAAGAAGCACTGCAAGGCAGGTTCACCCCGTGGCCCAGGAAAACAAAGTCTGGGTGCTCTACTGGGCCTGGTGGGGTGGGGAGTAAGGGCATAACGGCACAACAGCAGGAAAGAGTAGGGACACGGGGAGGGCGGTTAAGGGCATGATGGCAGGTGGAAGAAGCACTACAGGTTCACGCCGTGGCCCAGGAATACAAAGTCCGGGCGCTCTAACGGACCTGGTGGGGGAGGAAAACAGGGAGGGGGTTTGTGGTTGTTGGGGGGGATGAGGAGGGGTGTTGGAGAGGTGAGAATAGAACGGCAAAAGAGACGAGGAATAGGCACTGGAGCGAGTGATATGAAAGCACGAACTCGAAGTGATATGAGGGGATATGAGCTCGTAGAAAGGCACTAGAGAGATGGCAATGGCGTATGTTCGGTTTGACAGTGCGTGTTGCAAACAACAGCGGCAGACAGAGGGCAGTCGCAGGGTAAGTGCAGTGGCCGGCTCATTTCTGCACGCCTCCTTGTGTGGGAGTGGGGAGTGTGTGGGGAGTGTGTGGGGAGTGTGTGGGGCGTGTGTGGGGAGTGTGTGGGGAGTGGCAGTAGCAGCGTACCTCTGCGCGCCTCCTTGTGCACGTGGTCTGTGTTCGGGTCGACTGTGCCCGCCATCAGGTCATACACCGGCATGAACAGGCAGTAGTTGCTGCTCGGTTCCGAGTGGTGCAGAGAGTGATACCTGCAGGCACAATTGGCGGAGGAGGTAAGAGCGGGGGGAGAAAAAAGGGGAGGGGGGGAGAGGTGAGGGGAAATGGGGGTGAGTGAGTGAACGAACGGGAGCAATAGCGAAAGTGCAGTATTTAAAAGGCCTTCTCGCGAAGAGTCCAAAGCACAAATGGCGGACTCACGTGGGCGTGTGCACGAGGTACTTGAGAGGCGGCACGGCGCGCAGCAGCCACACGGGCACAAACTCAAAGTTGCAGTGCCCCACGGCGTTCAGCCAATCACACGCCAGCCAGTACGCGTACAGCGCGCCGATGGACGCGCCGCCCAGCAGCCATGTGCCCACCACTGGCACGCACAGCAGCAGCGCGTGCCCGATCTGCTCCAGGAACGTGTGCACATGTGCCGAAGTCGGTTCCGTCGCAACAGACGCGTGGTGGTGGCAGTGGTAACTCGCGTAGAAGAACGGAGTGTGCATAAAACGGTGGCACCAGTAGTAGAGACACTCTACCGGCCCCACGTGCAGCGCCAGGACTAGTGCCAGGCCTGGCCAGCTGAACAGCGGGAGGTTTCGCGCGCCTGGTAACCATTCGCGAAGAGCGGTGATCACTAGCGCCTGGAGGATGATGGCGTCGTCCCTGTTGGTGGCGGGGGGGGAAGGGGGGGGGGTGGGGTGGTGGGTGGGGGTAGGGTGGGTGATGAACGAAAGAAGCGATGAGAAGGTTTCGCGGTGGTAGCAAATCGCGAAGGGCGGTTACCACTGACGCCCGGAGGATGATGGCGTTGTCCCTGTTGGGCGGGGAGGTGCGAACGAAAGAAACGATGAGGAATGTTTTCGTGCGCCGGGTAACCATTCGCGAATGATGTAACCACTAGCACCTAGACGATGATGGCGCCGCCCCTGTTGGTCGGGGAGGTAAGACCGAGGGGAAATGAGCGAGTGAGAGACGCGAATAGAGGTGGTGAAGATGGGGAGAGGCGAGAGAGAGAGAGAGGCGAGAGAAGAGAGAGAGAGGCGAGAGAGAGAGAGGGGCGAGAGTGTAGGGTCATGATGCCGTCGATCAGTGGCCGTCGATCAATAGCCGTCGATCAGTAGCCGTCGATCACAGCGTCATGATCGAAAGAAGAAAACGTTTTCTATGCGTTTCCCAATCCACTTGCTCCATTCTGACCCACTTGTTCTCTATTCTACGCGGTCGATCGTATACGACACGGCCACTCGGACATAAACCTCTTAGGTCGGCTCAAATGCCAATCCAGGGTGACTCCCGATCCATCTGTTCGAAATTCATCCACGCCTTCTCTATTCCGTAGCGGGCGATCGGATAGGGCCACCGCGACACGGTCGCTCTGAGAATAGGCTTCTCGATCGTCTCATACGCCACTCACAGCGCGACTCCCGATCAAATAGATACTCACCAATGCGACTCGCGATCCACTTGTTCGAAATTAATCCCCTTCTTCTGTATTCTGTAGCGGTCGATCAGGTAGGGCCACCGCGCCACGGCCATCCAGAGATTGCCGTGCGCGAATCGCAGCAGCGCCAGCAGCACCATGTGGAAGCTCCATGCGTCCACGTCATCGCTGCCGTACAGGTGCGCGTGCACGGCTCGCGCGAGGAACGGCGCGAGGATCATGTACTGCGGGGAGCGCGGACCGCGGGGAGCGCAGGAAAAATAAGGGATTCGAGAAAGTTGGGAGGTAGGGGGTTGATAAGTAGGGTGCGAATAAGCGGGAAAGGGTGAATAGGGTTAACGGAGTAAATAGTGTAAATAGGGAATAGGTTGAATAAGGTAAGGAGGGTAAGTTGGGTACGAAGTCGTCAAAAGGGGAGGAAACAGAGTCGAATCGGCAGTCCATTGTCATTGACCGAAGGCACTGCTAAATGTGTCGGAATAAACATCGGAACGCGATCAAATGATCTTGCGTATCAAGTAAGCTACACTGGCCTTGGAGCTGCGCTCACCTTAAAGTTTCCCATCCATCGCCATGGTACGTGAAACAACGGGCCAGGCTTCGGCGACATCGCTTTCTGTGCAAAGCGCAAGCCTTGGCAGCTGTTGGCTTATATGCTGTGCAAGTGCAATGGTGCGAGGATGGATCCGAGAGACAGCCTCGTGTGCTCCTTTCGAGATCAGTGAGAGAAATATCTGAGCGATTAATTCAGATGCGAAGAAGTAACGCCGATGCTGCTTCACTAGAGGCTGATCAACCCGTGATCGGATCCCCGTCGAGCCTGCCTATAGTCCGTACAGTCTACAACAATGATAGTAGCAGCAAGTCATCGGTCAGTGAACGTAGCTACGTGCAAAGTCACACGGTAAAATAACCGATAAACATTAGAATATATTGCCTTCGACTGACAGACAAGCCTTGAAAGGTGTGCGTGGAGAGGAAGGGAAAGTCGAGGAATAAAGCGAGGAGTGTAGCTGGTCTGCAAGAAAAACGTGAGGTTGGTCGGAGCGAAGTACCTCACTCCCTAGTGATTCGCCGAGCACCGCAAACTCAACAATCCTCTCCCTAGTGGAGAAATCAAGGTAGGGGGAGGGTGGGAGGAGGGTGATCAGCAAAATTGCCAAACGAGGCACCGAAGCGGTGAGGCGGTCTTGGGGTGCCTGCTGCCGAGTCGAGGCTGTTAGATAGGTTCGGATAAGCTGATCGGTTCGGATAACTCTTGGTCATCGGGTTTGGTTTGCGAGCTTTTGTTTTGGGAGTTAACACCTTTCTCAGCTGGTTGGTGATGGGCTCGAGGTACACCTCGGTTCGGGAAAATGGAAAATCTCGAGGGGGGGTTATGGAAGAGTGGGGGGAGGCTCTGGAGAGTGGAGTACTGTACTGTAGAAGACGTTCCACCACGAACAGAATGATTTGCCGCGCTGACCTGACACCTATTCGCCTGCCAAGCCTCTGACAAGCTCCCACGCACGGAAATCAAGGTCTGCAGCGAAGTGGTGCTGGTCTCTGAAATGTCGGCCTGTTCGATCGTTGCGGTTGATCACATTGGTTATCGATCCATCCGACGGTAGAGCACTAACATTACCCAGGCCGACCGCCGACAGCTACCTCACCTCCACCTTGTCACGGCGGCGGACGGTTTGGCTTCGAAGCGACTCGGAGTATCACGAAACAGTGGAGAACAGTAACTTCTCTCAGGGGGCCTGGCATGGGGATGCAGGGCCGCGACAATCTCCAGGCCTCCCTCCCCCACAACCGCCTGCACATTTCAAAACTGACTCCCGCGCGTTGCAGATTTCCCTCGTTCGGTTGGGGGCAAAAGTGATTTCGGTTCGGCATCGTACAGACCATAGACTAACTTTTTCCCGAACCAAACATGTTTATGGCTAGAATACCCTGGCCAACGCGATTGCTCCACCAAAAGGCTTTCCACCCAATCCAAACCACAAATATGACCGACAAAGAATCTGGACTCGTGAGGCTCGTGTAGGACAACGACTAGGATGACCGCATTGTGATGCCAACAGCCGAGAACCAATCTCGGCCCTCCAAAGAGGCAGATAACTCTCTAAAAAAACAATCTCTAAAAAAGACAAGCTGGTAGGTAGTCTCTTTAATATACTTCATGTTACGAGTGCAATTGAGTGAGCGAGCTAAAATTGCAATATCTAAGCAAGAGTACAATGAGCGAAGGCATGAGCGAGGAATATATAGCGAAACTACAGTGGTAACGGTAATGGACTGTGGTTGTCGCGTGACGGGCCTGGGACTGAGGTTGGGAAAAGTGTCGAAGCGGAGGCCCATAGCGCGGGTTACTCGACGAGCCGTGAGGTCGGGGTGCGACGTGCGAAGGTGGCGGGAGGATTGTCGATGCGAGAGTTGCGAGTGGTAACGGTGCTGACTGTGGTGCTACAGTGGTGTACGCGCTGAGCGGGGATGCGAAGTAAGGAAAAGGGATTTTCCTTACACTACCCCACCCCCTAAGGAGGCCCTCCGTTACGAAAGTGCGTGTACATCCCTGAAGTTTCGGCTGCGCGGATACTCGGTGAGGACGGGGTGGTTTTCGATTCTGTCCAGGGGAACCCAGTTGTCTTCGGTGGGTGTACGGTCTTTCTAGCGGAGCAGGAACTCGATCATTCGGGCTCCTCGAGGGTCGCGAACTCTGTGACTCAAAATCTTCTCGGGGGTGATGATTGGTTCAGTCGGCAGTCGTGTCATGCTGGCTGGGCGATTTCGTGGGAGTTGGCTTGTGGACGGGACGTAGGGGCGAAGCAGGCTGACGTGGAACGAGGGGGTGACGTACCAGTCAGCGGGGAGGAGGAGGTAGGCGGTGACGGGTGTGAGCATGTGGCTGATGCGAAATGGTCCACAGTATCGGAGACGGGGTTTTGGTGTGATGGGCAGGCAGAGGTTTTGGGTGTCAAGTAAAACCAGATCGTCGAGCTGGTAAGTGACAGGTTTGCGGTGGCGGTCGGCATTACGTTTAGCGATGATGTTGGATTTTTTTATTGCGTCTACTGCCCGGGTCCGTGTTGCTTGTAATATTTCGGCGAACTGTTGTGCTCGTGGCACTGGGTTGTCGGGATTCGGGGTCATGGGTACTGTTGGGTCTTGTCCGTAGCTCACGTAAAGTGGTGACTGTTGGGTCGTGGAGGACGGTGAATTGTTGTACGCGAATTCGATGAGTGGCAATTGCTGTTCCCAGGTGGTTGGGTCGTCGCACGTGGCTCGGATGAGTTGTTACATGGTCTGATTTGTCCGTTCTGTCTGTCCGTCGGTTTCGGGGTGGTACGAGGAGCTGAACTGTAGTCGCGTGCCAAACTGCTACCATAGGTTCCGCCAGAAGTTGCTGGTGAATTTCGTGTCGCGATCGCTGATTATTTCTGCTGATATCGCGTGCAGTCGGACGACGGTGGAGATGAAGAGGCGTGCTGTTTCTTCGGCTGTGATTGATTTTTTGCAGGCTGCGAAATGTGCCATTTTCATCAGTCGACCAACGACGACCAGGATCGCGTCGTTCCCACTTGCCCCGGCCGGTAACTCCGTGATGAAGTCCATCGTCACCTGCTGCCAAGCACGCTTTGGGGGTGGTATCCGCTGCAACTGTCCTGCCAGCCGCTGCCTTGATGATTTCATGAGCTGGCAAGTGGGACACGATGCCACGTGTCGCTGTACGTCAGTCAACATCTCGGGCCAGTAATAATACCGCTGCAGCTGCTGTCGTGTTTTTTCTACCCCGAAATGTCCCGACGTAACTCCGTTGTGTGCCTCCTGTAACAGTAATTCCCGTAGCAGTGTATACCCAGGCACCCAGATGCGGTCGGTCCCGGCTTTTACGTAATAGACTCCCCTTGCTGCTGCAAACTGCTGCAAATTTCCTCGTATGAAGAATGGGTCTGTTTGGTACCCGTGGGTAAATAGGCCTGTCATTAGGGGACTGGTCTGGGCGAGTAGTATTGTGTGGATCTGGGCAGTGGGGCGGGTCAGTGCGTCGGCGATGTTCGAGGCCCCTTTTTTGTAGGTGACCGTGTAGTGGAAATTTGACTCGAGAAAATCGAGCCAGCGAATCTGTCGTGGGTTGAAGTGGGGCTGTGCGCGGAGGTACTGTAGTGATTTATGGTCTGTCCGTACGGTCACGTCTGCGCCGGTCAAGTAACAGCGCCACACTTTGAACGCGTGCACGATCGCAAGCATTTCGAGGTCGTGTATCGGGTAATTTTTCTCGGGCGGATGAAGTTTTCGTGACTCGTATGCGATGGGCTGTAGGCCGTTGCCGAAGTCCTGTAGCAGTACGGCCCCGATGGCGATGTCGCTTGCCTCAGTAACCACTTCGAATGGGCGTGACAAACATTATATATGTTGTGCTTGTTTAGGCTACAGTGGGTTAGCCTATAGGGGGTACATAATTCTAGTGTTTGGTACTTGTACTGATCTCACTGTTAGTTCAATCATTCCTGTTCGTTCATTTTAACATGGTATCATAGCAGGTCATTCGCTAGGACCGTTTTTTTGTAGGGCCCACCACTACCTACCTACCTACCTACCTAACTGCGCCCTAGGGCGCCTCGTTCTTCACGGCCCCCTAAGGCCCCGCGACCCGCGACCCGCCCCTTAGCGACCTGCGCGCCGCCCCTTAAGGCCCCGTCCGCCCACGCGCTTGCCCCTTACGGCCCCGCGCTCGCCCCTTAGCGACCCCGTCGGCCCCGCGATCGCCCCTAATGGCCCCGTCGGCCCCGCGCTCACCTCCCTAGAGGCCCCCGTCGGCCCCGCACTCGCCCCTAGAGGCCCCTTACGGCCCCGCGCTCGCCCCTAAAGGCCCCGAACGGCCCCGCGATTGCCCCTAGAGGCCCTTCACGGCCCCGCGCTTGCCCCTAGAGGCCCCAAACGGCCCCCACGCTCGCCCCTAGCGGCCCCTTACGGCCCTGCGCTCGCCCCTCATGGACCCCGCTGCTGCTGGTGGTTCTGCTGGTGCTACGGACCCGGGCGTTGGAGCTGCTGCTCGTGCTGAGGACCCTGGTGCTGGTGCTGCTGCTGGTGCTGTGGAGTCAGGCGTTGGAGCTGCTGCTGGTGCTGCGGACCCGGGAGTTGGAGCTGCTGCTGGTGCTGAGGACCCTGGCGCTGGTGTCTCTGCTGGTTCTGGAGTCGCTGCACGGCTGCGGCCGTACTTCGTTCCGCTCCTTCAGCAGGTTCTTGGTCAGCTCCCTCCTCCTTGTCCTCCTCCTTGTCCTCCTCCTTCGGGTGTCCTCCGTCTGTCCAGCTGCAGTCGCAGCTACCGTCTGCCTCCTCTCTCCCTGGTCCTGCTCCTTACACTGGTCCGGCTGGAGGTCTTACTGAGCGTCGTGAGCCTGAGTCTCGTCCTCCGTCGCCTGAGTCTCGTTGTGCGTCGCCTGTCCGTGCTGCTCTCACTGGTAGTCGTGTCCCGCGTCAGCGTCTTCCTGTTGTCCCAAGCACTCACCGGATGGCGCTTCGTCCTTCCACTGCTCCACAGCGTGTCCCACTACCCTCTCCTCCTACGTCTTCTCTTCCTGATCTTGCTGACCCGGAGTCAGACTCCCTTCGTGCTGCCAGTCC